ACTAATATTACCTTTACTATAATGTTTCACTAATTACAAACTACACACACATTCACTCTTGCACGCGCGCGAATATTTTACCATTTGCGATAATCTGAATTACTTTTCACTCACATTTTTTTCTTCTTTAGTTTCCAACGGATTACTGATAGGATTGTGTTATTGCGTATTTAGTTATGATGTATAAGATGATTAAAGCGAAATATTACCGGTAATAATAATAATAATAATAATAATAATAATAATAATAATAATAATAGAAGAAATGAATTGACACAATCTTCTACATATTTTCAAGTGGCGAGCACGATTTAAGAAAAAAAAATAAACAATATTTCTACTTCTATATAACGTATCCCTGCAGGACGATAATGAGTTTCCACAATTTTGTCTTTGTCTTTTTGCAGTCTCACCCATACTATTTCTTTTATATATATATATATGTATGTATATATATATTGGGGGGGAAACAAATATTCGTATACATACGCATTTTAAATTTATTGTATTTACTAATAATGAATAAACATACTTCTCATACGAATAACTATGCACAGATGCATAATAATTAAATATGCATAGAAAACAAAACAATTATTTAATAGAAATAAATCCCATTTATCCATGTTAATGTGTGAAAAAAAGTATTCATACACTGAAAATTTCACATTTCAAAACTTTTAAATTGATTTAATACTCTAGATTATCCAAGTAAAATATTTTAGAATGTTCCAGTAAAGTTATCAGAAGTAATTTTTAGCCTAAAAATACAAACAAAGTTCTATAATTGCTATTCGTGCAAGAAGGTTTTCATCATGGCAAAAGGTAAAGAATTGACAAATTCGCAAAAAGAACTGATTGTTAAGCTCTGGAAAGAACGTAAAATTTACAGGAAACTCCCAGACAACCCGAATATTCCATTTACTACCATTCGTTCATTCAGTGAAAGTTATAATAAAACTTTAAAACTGTTGAAAAACAAAGAAGAACAGGTATCCCACCAAACATTTTTGCAAGATTTTCAAGGAAATTAATGCGTCAAATTAAACACAATCCAATGGTTACTCGTCAGGAGTTGCAGGGTGATTTGCTTTCATCAAGAATCTGTCACTAAACAAAATATAATCAATGAAATTCATAGGAACAATCTAAAGTCACGCTCTCTTCGGAAAACTCCACTGCTATTGAAAAAACACAGAGATACCAAATTGAAATTCGTTCGTGAACATTGTTGTGTTATCCCTCTTACAGTATAATGAACTCTTCCTTCTCTTATAAATACAAACTGCGAGAATCGGACGGGAGCGCAGAGTGTGAAGTGGAATGGAGTAGTAGACGCAGTGCTAATCTATTTATTACTAACACTATTGTTTTGTATATATCTTCAATATACTTTTTACAACCTTTACTTCGTCTTCGTGTCTAAACTGGCCACAACAAACATAAGCATAGGAAGATATCGTAATGGGATAGAGCATTATGGACAGACAAAACCAAAATTGAATTGTTTAGACGTAATTCTAGAAATCATATACGGAGGAAAGATGGCGAAGCCTTCAAACAAAAGAACACAGTTTCAACACTGAAATGTGGTGGTGACGCATCTGTATACAGTTAATTATAAAAAAAAGTATGTTTATTTATTAGTTGGAAATACAACAAATTAAAAATTTGTATCGGTACGAATATTTGTTTCATTGAGTACGACAATACGCCAAACAAGGTGCTTTTATTTATTTTTTAATAAAATTTGTCATGCGATCTAATATTTTTTTTTGTTTTCGGATGATAAATTATATAAAAACTGTCCGAATGTTATTTTTTGTTTTTTTTTTATCCGCGCGCTTTCGGCTATAAATTTAGCTATCTTCAAGGATTAAATATTTTAACTGTTAAATAAGAAAAAGTTTGTTGTATGTAAGTTTTATAAAATGTTTTCATTTTTCAAAACTCAGCCAATATATTGTGTCCATGTTCAAAGTTAATATTATTAATTGTTGTTTTTTTTGGTTTTTATTAATAAGGCTTCCATTATTTTTACCCTTTCTTGCATGTACCACCTTGTCTGTAGTATTCAATGAAATGTGCATATATATATATATATATATATATATATATATATATATGTGTGTGTGTGTGTGTGTGTGTGTGTGTGTGTGTGTGTGTGGCACCATTTAACGAGGCAGAAAAAAAAAAGAAAGAAAAGAAGAAAAGGAGAGGCAAAGGACCGAATCGTGGATGATAAGCAGAACACACACACGGCTAAGAGACAATGGATAAGGATATTTTGATAAGTAACAAATGGCGAAAGGGTGTCATTACAATGACAGGGAAATTCTGAGTAAAAAGAAAGGGAAGAAAGAAAGAATCAGATATGTTTTTGGCGACGGCTGTGTTATCTAAGGATATGAAAACAAACTATTGGTACGGGAAGGCATCTTATTATCAACTACAGACCGACTGGCCAAAGAAAAAATTCAAATGAAAATGTTATTTCAATAAGTGACGAAAACAGGCAACTAAAAGGACTTTGGACAGATATGAAAATTAAAAGCCACCCACGAGTGTCCGCTGACCGATTTCCTTCGACGGAACATCCTTGGCCTTAAAATTATGTTATCAGAAATAGGTACCGAAGAGAAATGAATGGAATTTAGAAATGTCTTTTTCAAAGACGTTGGCCATTAAGAAGACCACCCATTCTGATAATTGGCGATAAAATAATTGACGAAGACCTCGTGTAGAACAAGAGTTATGACCGCCATTGATCATATTGTCCCGTTTGCGGCTAGAGAAATGATAACGGCGATTAAGAGGAAGAAAAGGAAAAGAAGGGATAATTTTTTTTAGTTAAGCAAGATATTTTTTTCCCTGAAACAAAGCCGCGGATTCGTCCACGCCCGACTAAGACATCATTGGTCGAGTAGTGATCACGTGACGCATGAAGGAGGCTGTCGCCGCCTCATCCAGAGTATAGGTATGAGAAGCTGCTACGAAGAAGTGGGGAGGGCAGTTCACGCCCTCTGAAGTATGGTGAGAAGGTGGGAGTAAGGGAAGGTTCCCAAAATGGAAAAATGTGGAAATTCCTAACCAGAGAGGTGGATATGTATTTAGAATTATCGAGGAAACCCCGACGCCGACAGACCCTCCCGGTTTTGGTCGGCGTCCATATAAGCGAAGCCACAACGAGCAGAAATCAGTTCCAGTAAGTTCCAGTTCCAATTTCAGTTTGAGTTGAGTTGCAGCGAAGAGTCAGTCTCCAGTTGACGCCGCCTCGCAGATAGCTGACCAAGATTCACGCAAATTCCGACCTCTTCTTCAACCCAAGAACAATTATTTTGCAGAGCGACTTAGATCCAGACCACCAAAATAAGTTTTTTTTTCGACTTTCGTCCGAAGACACACCGAAAAACCAATTTCATAGAGAGCAAACAACTTGAAGCGTTAAAACTCGCCTAACGGAAAACGACGTGCCACAATCCATAGAACGGGTCGGGAGATAGATGCAGTCCTATGTATCGAACAACTAGACATAAAGTTTGTTACCTTTTTCTTTGATACCTTGAACTTTTTGAGTTTTCATTTTATTTTCTTTTATGCATATTTGTGAACTCGTTGAACTCGGTTTGCATTACGGCCCCAACCACTGATTGATCTCGTCTGCCTAAGATCAATTCACAACGTGGGTAGGCAGACTGGAGATCAATGCAGTTACCTTGGTAACCAGGCGTTGGAAGCGAGTTGGGAACGACGAGGCTGATATCAAATCTAACCAGATTCCCACCCGAATCACCGAAAGGTTAGAACGTCACATTTAGGTGCCGCGACCGATACCAAGCCAGTTGGTCGACACAGGACGAGACAACACGACTGACGCGACAGGCGGACGTCACGTTTGGAGCAGCGACACCCGAACGGAGCAGCGAGGAGCGAACAGCTGGCGCCGCGGCGATTACGTCACAATTAGTGCTGTTTAGGGACTTCACAGTTGGTGCCGTGGTAGACCAGGATAGAACGTCACAGTTGGCGCTGCGACCAGGGGACGACGTCACATATATATATTCAATCTGCTTTGTGGAATCATCTTCAAGAATCGAGAGCAAGACCTAAAAAGTCAGCCAATCTAACAGTGAGCTCATGTCACAATCCTCACGCTTGTTCTATATGTGTCCTCCATTGCAAATCACTAGCGGGTATTAAGTGCCACTTAAGATTATCGCACAACATTTCATAACTGAATCAATTAAGCTATCAGATCCTCATGCGTCGAAACCGACGGGAGAGTCCATTATATATATATATATATATATATGCATTTAATTTATGATGCTTACAAATCAGAGCATATCTAATTTTTGTTCTTGTTTGTTATTTGTTCTATATATAATTACCCTAATAATGTGATTAAAAATTCTCAGCTTAGCACATTTCTATAAATCAGTATTTTAACGGTTATAAATAAGAGTTTTTGTATAGAGACGCTACAAGCATTATGCTAAATGTCTCAATCTGCCGAGTGAATGCGGACTGATCCTGCATCGTTCGTGACTTTATGTTCGTCTTCTTCGTCGGAAAGAGAAGGCGTTTCGTATTTATTCAGCTGAACTTAGTATGGATTTGAGAAAACAATTTAGAAAACTCTCTGGCGCCAATATTTATACCTGTAAAAAATTCGAAATACACTGGATTATTCTGGACTCCTTCTGACACGTCGTGCATTGGTTAGATATACTCAACAATGTGTGCAGAGTTTATGAGACATAAGTTTGTTTCGTATTGTGTCTTAACCTCTTTTTACTGGATCCTTAAATTTTCAAATTTCCCGCCTTTCTGATTTCTTTGTTTCATCACCAGCTTCATGAGAATTTTATTGTGCTAGTCGTAGTTTTGGCAACGGTGTTTTATTTATTTTAATGATCAATACTGTGTTTGTAGTAGTAACAGTCGCATTAAAATAATTGAAAATATTTATTTTATTAACATCTATATTGTTGTTCGTTATGTCACCTCTTATTTTCTTTGCACCTTTATTTCAACGAAGACTTCTTTTTTCCCGCAGTCGTTTCAATGTGTTCTTTCTTTTTCTTTTTTTTTTTTTAAATCTTCTTAATCCGAAATCGCCTCTTCACTTTCTTGCTGTTCAACACTCGTGCTTTTCTTCAGCCATTATTCCCTTCGTTTTAAGTTCTCTTTGCTTGTTTACAGTTTTTCAGAATATTTATTTTCATAATCATCTCCAAATTATTCATGTTCTTTAACAGTTCCCCCTTTATTTATTTTTTCTTTTTTTTTTTTTTTTTACTTCACTCTTTACGTCTTTATTTACTTTATTCATACCTTGCCTTTTTTTTTTTTTGTATCTTCTAATCGTCATTGCCCCTGCTGCTGCTGCTTCTGTTGCTTGCTGCTGCTATTCTTTGACTCTGTGTTGTTTATCAGCCAACATCTTATTTTTTCTCTCGTAATGTCTCTTTTTTTTTCCCTTAATATCCCTTCTATCATCTTTGTTCCTACCGCACGCCTCTTTGATGCTTTCATCTGAAATGCTGTGTTCTCACCACGATGTTGAATTTGTAGTTATTTTTTCTTCATTTTTCGTTTTAGAAAATCTCCTTCTTACTTCCCTTGTTTCCTTCCTACACTTCTTTTTTTATTTTCCTTTGTTTCATTCTCATATGTTACCTGTTCTGTTGCTTTTCCTGAGAGACGTTTCTTTTCTTTCCTTTTTACTCTTTTCTATTCTTTTATTTTTCCTTTCTTCCATTGGTACTCAGTCCTCTTTTTCTTCTTTAATAATTCCTCCCGCCATTAACCTACCTATTCAACGCCCCCTCCCTCTCGTAATCTTATCTTTCTGCTCCTCCCGGTTCCGCTACATTATTATTATTATTATTATTATTACTATCTTGCTCCGTATTCTTCTTCTTCTTCTTCTTCTTCTTCATTTCTCTCGATCTTTCCTAAACCCTCGCACTCCTAGTTTTCAACACAATCTTTCTTTCTGTCTTTCTTTCGTTCTGACTTTTTGTCTTTCTCTATTTAGTCATTTATTTTGTCTTAAATGCCATCGTCATTATAAAGTTATAATTAATCATCATTGCCGTCATCATTTTAATTTTTAATCCTTATTTTTCCTCTTTTTTTTTCTATATTTCTTCTACCTCTCTTCCCCTACGCCTCTTTCGTTTGTTTGTTGCGATCGGGTCCACACCCTTCGCTACAAGTTTATATGTTTAACATAATCTGTCATCTTTTCGTTTTTCTTCTTTTATTTGTTGTTCCCCTCTTCTTTTCTTCTTCTTCTTCTTCATTTATTTTACTTTTATCTTAGCCACTACTCTCCTCGTTAAATGATCTCTTTCTTTCTTTCTTTCTTTCTTTCTTTCTTTCTTTCTTTCTTTCTTTCTTTCTTTACTTTTTCTACTTTTCCGTTTTCACTCTTTCTATTTTAATTCTTTTTCTACATTCTTTTCTGTTTCTTT